GATATCATATATCTGAAGCAACTTGTGCGCTTTACATCTCGATTTGAGGAAACAAAAATTTGTTACAAAATTATGTCGAAATAGAAATAGCATACAAATAGAAATTTCAATGCTCGGATATTAATTCGGAAAGAATTTTTTGCACCATAGACAATATGGACAGCACAACGTACGTACATGTAAATTTTTGTTTTTAACAATAACAGCAAAATGTGTTTAGCAAGATCATTGAACGTTGAAAATAGAAAGGGCGTTGCGGCCGAGTACCCGATGAAGGACAAGCGACGGCGCTTGCATGACATTGACATTAGCTTGAAATATCGATCAAAACTGAACTAAACTCTGAAAGAAATTGCTACTCAGGAAGAAAGTGATGCTAATGTACTCGTAGGTACGCTACTCGAAATTCTCGGGTCTTTATGCAACATAAACATTGTCTACCTCAATTGCACCAAACTGAAGTAAAATAGAAACATGTTCCATAAGCTAAAAATAATATGATAATGTTTTTAAATTCTTCTACTCTTTATACTATTCTGTGTTTCTCATTCTTATGCATAAAATTCACAGTCTAGTAATTATACTTTGAAACATTTTAAATGTTTAAATACTTACACCTTCTCGACCACTTTATTTGCTTTCATTTTAGCCATTTTGAATATAAAAATACAAAGGAACCAAAAAGTTTGTTTAAGAAAACATTTCTACTGCTTGCATTTTACAAATTTTGTTTCACTCTTTTGTACATCTGGGTCAGCATCGACCTGGACATTTTCTCTGCAAAACCGCAATTCATTTCAGGAAAACTTCGATATTTTAGTTTTTCTCCTTTATCCACGGTCGGAATGAAAAGTATGTTTAACTTTTGGAACCGGATGGATTAAACACATACAGAGTTCCATCCAGTTCTACTTCTACCTGAGGGATATAGAAATTCTGCTTTGCATTGGTATTGTACCTAGCTAAGTTTTATAGATAACAAAAGGATTTAATACCCGCAATACTCGATCGATAAAAAAAGCTGGGACATGCATGCTCTACCTTTTGTTCGTTTTTGTAAAAAAGATTGAATTAGGGTACACCAAAAATAAGTCCGGAACGGTTAAAGATCGCTATATGTTTTATTAATACTTACGCAACCTTCATTACGTTACGCGTTAGCAATAAACATTGCGTAAAAGAGAGATTCCTCGAGACTGCTAGAGGCTCCCCGAGACTGTTCGATACTGATCAAGACACCTCGTAACTGCTCGAGGCTGCTCGAGACTGCTGCAGACTGCTCGAGACTGATTTAGATTGCTCGAGACTGCTTGAGACTGATCGTGGTTGTACGAGTCTGCTCGAGACTGATCGAGGTTGCATGAGACTACTCGAAGCTGCGCAAGACTACACGAGGCTACAGGAGGCTGCTTGAGGATGCTCGAGACTACTCGATACCGCTCTAGTCTGCTCGAGACTGTTCGAGACTGTTTATGACTGCTCGAGTCTGCTTGAGACTGATCGTGGTTACACGAGACTACTCAAGGCTGCTCGAAGCTGCTCGAAGCAGCTCGAGGCTGCTCGAGGCTACTCGAGACTTCTAGGGGGTGTTCGAAACAGCTAGATCCTATTTGAGACTGCTCGAGACTACTAGAGAATGCTTGAGCCTATTCCAGACTGCTCGAGGCTGCCCAAGACTTCTCAGGGCTGTTCGAAACAGCTAGATGCTGCTGGAGACTGATGGAGACTGCTTGAGACTGATCGTGGTTGCACGAGTCTGCTCGAGACTGATCGAGGTTGCATGAGACTGCTCGAAGCTGCACAAGACTACACGAGGCTACGGAAGGCTGCTTAAGACTACTCGATGCTGCTCGATGCTATCGGAAATGGTGTTTGAGATATTATGTATAAAAATTATAAAGAAAACGGAAATTTTGCTGAGAATTATAGTATCGCCATAAGAAAAGAAATTGCTGAAAAAGGAGAGCCTTAAATGTTACATTTCTGAAGTAGAAGATAATGATAATAAATAAAAAGTTATTAAAACATGTCGTTTGCATATAGATGTATGAATGTGCTGCTCGTAATGGTAAACATGATTCAATAATATTCTTACATATTCCTCAAAAATATATTTTTTTAACATTTTTATATTTTTGTAAAATTCAATTTTACAAAAGAAATGCATTCTTTAATTAATTAATTTTAGAATATGTGTGTTAAAGCAAAAGTTGATCTAATGAATTTTCAACAATATAATGGCCACCATTTTGAAATATATAAGTGCATATGTATCACAATTAA